GTAGGAGCCAGTGCACATATGCATCTCTTGCTGTTTGTTTCTTATCAGTTTTACAAGCCATATGCATATATTTAAATGTGTTTAAGAAACTTTGTTGCAAAAGGCATTCCCAGTATAGCACAGTCTCACCATAACTCGCTCTCCTCCCACCCTTTTGTGACTCCAATGCTGCAAATTCTTGCATTGAAATATGTCTCCTCTAGCTTTTATCTGCAAGCTCTGTAAAGCCCTTGTGAAAAGCTCGAGGAGGTTAGAGGTGGGAGAGAATATAAATGAAGGCTGTGAAGGGAAACTTCATGTGTCAGTGTCTTCATCTACTCCATTTTATTTATTTATTTTTCTTTCAATTATAGGAAGCTTATGTGCAGAAAATGGTAAAAGTATGCAATGATTCAGACCGGTGGAGTCTCATCTCCCTGTCCAACAACAGCGGCAAAAATGTGGAGCTGAAATTTGTGGACTCCCTGAGGAGGCAGTTTGAGTTCAGTGTAGACTCCTTTCAGATCAAGCTAGACTCCCTTCTGCTTTTCTATGAATGCTCAGAGAATCCAATGACTGAAACTTTTCACCCAACTATCATTGGTGAGAGTGTCTATGGGGATTTCCAAGAAGCCTTTGATCACCTGTGCAACAAGATAATTGCCACCAGAAACCCAGAAGAAATCAGAGGAGGTGGCCTTCTTAAGTACTGCAACCTGTTGGTAAGGGGCTTCAGGGCTGCCTCAGAATCTGAGATCAAGTCCCTTCAGAGATATATGTGTTCAAGGTTTTTCATTGACTTCTCAGACATTGGAGAACAGCAAAGAAAGCTGGAGTCTTACTTGCAGAACCACTTTGTGGGATTAGAAGACCGCAAGTATGACTATCTCATGACCCTTCATGGTGTGGTGAATGAGAGCACGGTGTGCCTGATGGGACATGAGAGAAGACAGACTCTAAATCTTATCACTATGCTGGCCATTCGGGTCTTAGCTGAACAAAATATCATCCCCAATGTGGCCAATGTCACCTGCTATTACCAGCCAGCCCCATATGTAGCAGATGCCAATTTTAGCAATTACTATATTGCCCAGGTTCAGCCAGTGTTCACATGCCAGCAGCACACATATTCTACTTGGTTGCCCTGTAATTAAGGACCATTTGAATATACCTGGTGGGGAGAACATTTTTTTAACTAATAGAGAGGGGTGACACACTCCTTACAATGGGGTGATTTTTGTGCAATGATGATCTGCTCTAGGTTTCAAGCTTGGTAAAGCTTGTAGTTCTTCTAATAAAAATAACGGGAGCATGATCTAGAAAAGAACCAAAAATAACTGGATTCTACCCCTGAGCACAAGAGGCCTGTCACTAAAAGCAAATGGCTTCCCCTGAAATAAACATGGGAGGAATGCATGATGACAATATGGGTTGGCGATACCTGCTCCCATAGCTTTGGCATAGAGAAGTTTTGGGAAGCCTTTTTTTATTTTACTTTACTTTCCCAAAGAATGGGATTTGCAAAAAGGGAGACCATGGGAAGAAAATGAAACAAAACCCCAACATTATATATATTTTCAGGAATTAAAAGTAGAGGCATAATGCAGAGATAAGCTGAAATAAAATGTATATTGGAATTACTGCATTTGGGGCTTGCAGCAAGTGCTGTGTATGGAATGATCATGTAGGATGTATAGCTTGCTTGAATAGAATGCTTTAACAGAGAAACGGCTTGCTCCAGATGAACAGTAGGAGATTGGTACAGTTCTAAAAACGGGGAGGGAGGAGGGAAGGTATGATGACAAAGTCCATTTATTTCCAGCTGTGTGGATGCTTCACGTTATTTTTTCAAATGT